GTTATGTCATGTGAAAAGACCAAAAATATTTTGCTGTAGTGTGTAGTTTCCTAAAATTTCATCAGCACAGTTAAGTCGTCTTGAATAATCAGCTAGAGATCTATCAGTTTTCTTCTTCGCTCAGACGTAAAGTTCCCTTCTTTGTCACCACACTGTAAAACAGGGAAAAGCTCAATTTTTCAGAGATTTGGATGCCTTCATCCAGTTTTTTTTGGCCAAAGATTGTCAGGAGACAAAACACCATACGATAAAACTGCTTTGGTTTGTAAGCTGAATACACAAGTCGTCCAAAACCCGTAAAATATGTACTATGCGTAGTATAAACATTGTCACGATGGAACACCAATATGGCGGCTAAACCGGTTTGCCATGACGATATAGCCCAAAGGTCACGTGAGTGAAAACGCTCTATAAGTTTGACACTTGAACATATATCAAGTGTATTAACAAAATAATCAGGCCAGTGAATACGTTCACTTATTTTACACTACTTTGTCACAGCAACGAAAACAGGATTTCAAAATCAGAGGAGTAAAAATTCAGTCAATAATCATATCGGGTTCAGTTAGAAATAAAATATTCCAGGCTAAAATCGTTTTGAAATATTGAAATTAAAATGATGCAAACCCGAAAACGTTTGTGCACGTACATGTTGAATCCGTTTTAGATTATAAAACCAATCGGTCATCAGTTTTCTCTGCATGGTATCTTCGCATAGGAGCTGGACAATTAAAGGAAGACTCTACATTGCCTGGCAAATTTAAAATTCAGGGCACTGCATCATTAATAAAAAATGGAAAACCTGAAGATGGATCTCAGCTTATCTACTTCAGTTGACCCAATAACTGGAAGTAATTCAGGAGCTGGCCTCATCTACTGCAGCAGTCACATCTGGTCCAATAGCTGGAACAACTGCAGCAACAACTGCAGCATCAAATGCAGCAACAACTGCAGCAACAACTGCAGCAACAACCGCAGTCAACAACTGCAGCAGCAACAACTGCAGCAACAACTGCAGCAACAACTGCAGCAAAAAACTGCAGCAGCAACGGCAGCAGCAACAACTGCAGCAACAACAGCAACAACAACCGCAGCAACAACTGCAGCAGCAACAACTGCAGCAACAACTGCAGCAACAACTGCAGCAAACAACGCGCAGCAACAACTGGCAGCAGCAAACAACTGCAGCAACAACCGCAGCAACAACCGCAGCAACAACCGCAGCAACAACCGCAGCAACAACCGCAGCAACAACCGCAGCAATACAACCGCAGCAAACAACCGCAGCAACAACCGCAGCAACAACTGCGCATTATCAACAGCAGCGACAACCGCAGGCAACAACCGCAGCAACAAACCGCAGCAACAACCGCAGCAACAACCGCAGCAACAACCGCAGCAACAAACCGCAGCAACAACCGCAGCAACACGCGCATTATCAACAGCAGCGACAACTGCAGCCGGGACAATAGGTGCGGGTGGTGATACTACCACAGCTGGAGGATCTACCATAGCGACTTCAGTGGCACCACCATCATCGGTTCAATTTCGACAATCTTCAACGGCATCATCTCTGCCTACAAGTAAACCAACGGTCTCCTGTTGGGGAAACAAGTGCCACAACCAGCATGTAAACTTACCAGCTCTGTTGTGACATCGTCAGGAACAACGGTGCCCACGTCAAGGCCTACGACTGCCATAAGTCCAACGACTCTTAGAGCTTCACCCAATAAAATTTGCATCAATTCTGACAAAGGTAGGCTATCTCGTATCACAATTCAGGTGGGTATGGTGATCATGTTGCTGATGATGTTAACTTGATTAAATATGAAAATAATGACGGTGACGATGACAAAATTTGAATTACGAGTTAGGATGACTAAACCGTTAACATTGGTTATCAAATTATTCCAACAGTATTGATTTATTTTCTCATTCATTTTAGTGTACGTAATAATAGTCGCCAAGGAGATATTGAAAACCCACAATGCATTCCGGCGTACTCATGGCTCTCCGGATATGCAACTGGATGACCAAATGATCTGCGACGCCCAAACCTATGCCAAGGAAATTGCCTATAAAGGAGCTTTGGAACACCTATCATGTGAAATCCTGGCCAGAAAAGGGATGGGAGAAAACATTGGAATGTCTTGTACGCCTGCACGGAAACGGGCCCCTCAAATACAACAAGATAGTCAGAAATGCACGAAATGTGGCTAAGCGCTGGTAAGGGGCTTATACGTATTGAATATTTTGTATTTGTTGGATTTTTGTCCATATCGATAGTTTACATTTTCGTCAATGGTGAGCAGTTGAAGATCGGGGGTTGAATTCAAGTTTAAATGTTTATGAAATAGAGTTGTTCATGACGAGGTTATTGCCGAACAAATGCGAATTGATAAGATACATTTCTATGCGTCCGCCATGTTGAAGCTAAGTCTAACATGGCGTGTCCATTTCTTTAATTTATCATATTTGGGATTTTGTATTTTTTAAGCGGCCCATGCGCAGCGGCCGCTTCAAGAAATGCACTTTTTTTTTCGTGTCGCTAGCCTTAGTCCTCTTCACGGTTGACATGATCTTATCGCATCTCGGTCTGAAATTAGCCAGTAGAGAATTTCTCTTCCACATTCTTTCTGTAGTGTCGTGTAAGTGCGTAGATGTATTTAGTTTATTACAGTAATCGCATTGGAAAAAGCAAAGACAAATGTCCCATAGCAGTGAACAGTGGTGTTGTTGCAAAATGTGCTAAATTTGGCGGTGTGACCTTTGCGTGTGAGGGGTTTCCCCGTTACATTGTAAACGTAGCCAGGAGACATGCAAATAAATAGCCACAAGAGAATTTCTGTTCTGTTTAATACATGCACCTCAACCAGTAAACGAACGATAAAACCCGGTCCCAAAAACATAACAGTTTTTCTTAACACAATTCCACAGCATATATGTCATTCACAATTTATTTTCACGTTGGAAAACATATCTTTGCCCACGTCGAATATGATGCAATCTACATTAGCTAAAATTAACCACAAGAGAATTTCTCCGGCTTCCGGAGCATGATGCAATATATTACATCAGGCAGTCACGTTTTTCGTCACGCAGGTTCGTGTGTTGACTCTTAGGATTTGGAGGGTGCACCTCAGAGTCCAGTGACCGCGGATAGTTTTTCGTGTCGTGTAAGAGCTCTTTTCATGTAAAGAAACAAGCGAAATATTTAATTAGACAAGGGAAAATAACCTCAACTACTCGAGAAGAGCCACTACAGAGCAGGAAATGGAGGGGTCCGTGTCACGAAGTAACGAAAGTTAATTTTATATTTCTTATATTTATATTTCTCGTCACGCATGTTCGTATGCTGACTCTCGCTCATTTTAGGGGTGCACCTCGGAGTACAGTGACCGAGGGGAGTCGGGGAGGAGAGATCGATTGTTGTTTCCCCATTATTAAGGTAATCGGCCGCTTGTAAACTACTTTAGGAGTTCTTGTTTTATCAGAATAATAACATTTTTTTTTTCGAGGGAGCACGATAAAAAAAATAAAATAAATAGATGTTATCGAACTAGCGTGAGGTCCGTATTGGGAAAATATTGGCCGAGTTCTTTTTTTGTAAGTTTGTTTTTGCAAAAAAAGAACGAGACCAATATTTCCCAATACGGACCGAACAAGCTAGTTCAATAAAGTTTTTATTATAATGGCTTTTTAAAAAAATTTGCTGATAAATTAATGCAACTATTCTCGGCTAACGCGCGCGCGCCAAAGCTAAGCATATTCTTGCATTTTTCAGGCCGCTTTGCGAAAAGCTTAACCAAAATTGTCCGCCAGACACGAGGAAAAATGTTTCTACTAAATAGAAAACAGTTTTCTTTTGTTCAATGTTTCATCAAAGGAATTCGGCGAAATAAGTTCGTGAGCGGTCCGTCTTAGCGGTCCGTATTGCAGAATTCGGACAGCTCAGGGAACCAATCAGAATGCTCCTTTTCAACGTGGACCAGTTTGCCATATAATAAACAACTTTATTTAAGTGTCAGTATATTTAGCACCAAAGAGATTGAAGGCTTTTTTATTATTGTATTCCACTATTCAGTTTAACAATCTGATACATCGTCTGATTTTAATTACCAAGCCCACTCGTACAACTAAGACTGTAGCATCATGGAAGCATACGTAAGTTCTCTTGTACTTTATATACAAGACCATAAAACAATAGACCGCTATTTCAGTTAAGTGTATAATTAAATTAATGTATTGATACATACTTTTCATGTTTATAATATTTATAGATACCAGGCAGATTACAAGTGTCCGTTTACTGGGGTAACTAATAGTACTTTTTTATCCACAATGTAATCGATCGTTATTGTACAACCACTACTTTGTGCTCATCCACTACGTATTGTTATCACAATATTTGAATGACAATACAATGACAAATAACAGTCTAACGGTTTGGTCTAAACTATTGCCGTGCGATTCGCTTTGTTTTTCAATTGATTTCTCTTATCCATAGGGATAAGAGTAAAGGAGGGTGCTTTTGACCTTCTCTTGCAGTAAGCTCCGTTGAAGTTCCCTCTCTTGACATTCGTCTCCAGTCCTTGCGCGGCTATATTGTTACCAGAGGGACTGTACCGACCAACAACGTAGACACATACATATCCGGGAAATTTGGCATTCTTTCCAACGGCGTAGCCAACCCCAAGCCTTTTGCTACTTGACCATATGATTTCAGTGAAATGACCGGTGTTCTGTGCAATATTTGGCTTGTCGAAGTTGTATTGACATACCTCAGCATACCTGTGAATACATTAATTGAAACACGAATAATTTGAAGCTAGACCCGGCATATGTGTTCACGGGTCAAAGAAAGCTAATCATCTAATCATGGGAAACAGAGATCCATGATCAAGGAATATCATTATATGCATGGCTTTGTGTTATATAATTAATACCAAGTTTCGAGATCTCCCGCTGTGGTCCTAGTTGTACATACACTGTAATATGGAGGCGGCGTGGCCGAGTGGTTTAAGGCGCTAGATTTGAAATTTGGAGGTCACTGGTTCAAATCCTCTACCCTGCTACTTGCTGGATTTGTTCTCGGTAGTCCCGAGTTCAACTCCTCTGTCGCGCTTTGTAAATAGCCAACTGGTTAGCCTCCTAACAGTTGGGATTTTTAATTTATAGTATCCACAATTAGCGCAGCAGTGCCAAATCTACTGACACTTAAATAAAGTTGTTTATTTTATTTATTTTATCGTCCTCCCTCGAAGAAAAAGTTATCATTCTGATAAAAAAATTACAAAATCCCAAATATGATAAATTAAAGAAAAGGACACGCCATGTTGGCTTTACTTCAACATGGCGGACGCATAGAAATGTATCTTATCAATTCGCATGTGTTCGGCAATAACCTCGGCATGAACAACTCTATTTTCTAAACATTTAAACTATTTCAACCCCGATCTTCAACTGCATGCTCACCATCGACGAAAATGTAAACTATCGATATGAACAAAACATCCAACAAATGCAAAATATTCAATACGTATAAGCCCCTTACCAGCGCTTAGCCACATTTCGTGCCATTCTGACTATCTTGTTGTATTTGAGGGGCCCGTTCCGTGCAGGCGTACAAGACATTCCAATGTTTTCTCCCATTCCTTTTCTGGCCAGGATTTCACTTGATTGGTGTTCCAAAGCTCCTTTATAGGCAATTTCCTTGGCATAGGTTTGCGCGTCGCAGATCATTTGGTCGTCCAGTTGCATATCCGGAGAGCCATGAGTACGCCGGAATGCATTGTGGGTTTTCAATATCTCCTTGGCGACTATTATTACGTACACTAAAATGAATGAGGAAATAAATCAATACTGTTAACGGTTTGTTCATCCTAACTCGTAATTAAAATTTTGTCAGCGCCACCGTCATTATTTTCATATTTTATCAAAGTTAACATCATTAGCAACATGATCACCATACCCACCTGAATTGTAATACGAGATAGCCTACCTTTGTCAGGATTGATGCAAATTTTACTGGGTGAAGCTCTAGAGGTCGTTGGAAGTATGGCAGTCGTAGGCCTTGAAGTGGGCACCGCTGTTCCTGACGATGTCACAACAGAGCCGCTGGTTGTAGCATTTGTTGCCCCAACAGGAGACGTTGGTTTACTTGTGGGCAGAGATGACGCCGTTGAAGCAATTGTCGAAATTGAACCCGATGATGGTGGTGCCACTGAAGTCGCTATGGTAGATCCTCCAGCCGTGGTAGTAGCACCACCCGCACTTGTGGTTCCTGCTGCAGTGGTTCCTGCTGCGATGGTTCCTGCTGCAGTTGTTGCTGCTGCTGCAGTTGTTGCTGCTGCTGCAGTTGTTGCTGCTGCTGCAGTTGTTGCTTCTGCAGTGGTTGCTGCTGCAGTGCTTCCTGCTGCAGTTGTAGCTGCAGTTGTTGCTGCAGTTGTTGCTGCAGTTGTTGCTGCTGCAGTGGTTTCTGCTGCGGATCTTGCTGCAGTTGTTGCTTCAGTTGCTGCTGCAGTTGATGCTGCGGTTGTTGCTGCAGTTGTTGCTGCAGTTGGTGCTGCAGTTGGTGCTGCAGATGTTGCCGAAGTTGCTGCTGCGGTTGTTGCTGCAGTTGCTGCTGCAGTAGAGGACCCAGATGATTCTGTGGGTCCTGTTGTTGGCTGTGTTGACGCAGAAGCGTCTGAGGCAGCTCCTGAATTACTTCCAGTTATTGGGTCAAATGAAGTAGATAAGCTGAGATCCATCTTCAGGTTTCCATTTTTTATTAATGATGCAGTGCCCTGAATTTTAAATTTGCCAGGCAATGTAGAGTCTTCCTTTAATTGTCCAGCTCCTATAGCGAAGATACGAGAGAAAAATGATGACCGATTGGTTTTATAATCTAAACACATTCAACATGTACGTACACAAACGTTTTCGGAGTTTACATCATTTTAATTTCAATATTTCAAAACGATTTTAGCCTGGAATATTTTATTTATAACTGAACCCGATATGATTATTGACTGAATTTTACTCCTCTGATTATGAAATCCTGTTTTCGTTGCTGTGACAAAGTAGTGTAAAATAAGTGAACATATTCACTGGCCTGATTATTTTTTTAATACACTTGATGAATGTTCAAGTGTCAAACTTATTGTTGAGCTTACAAAGATAGCATGCGACACCATACCTTTACTTTTTAAGCCTAGTACGTTTCTCCACATCTGAAACTTGGGTTTCATAATGCCCGCAGTGTTTCCTGACTTCAGCGCATAGTTATTCCAGTTATTTGGTTTCAAAGCGCCAGGTTGGAATTGGGACAATATGTTCCCTTGTAACTGAGAATTAACTTGTGGTACAAAGAACACACACAGCACAAATATAATTGTCATCGCCAAGCACCAGAGTCCTTCTCACACAAAGAATTGCAAAAGACGAGAGACCTGCAAAATCAGGGATTATTTATCTCGTCATAATGTCAAAGTAATTTGCCTACTATCGAAAAGTTAATAGATTGGACAGGAACAGACAGTTAAATAATGCTTCTCTCACTTTTTAACTCATTTTTTCCTTTTATTTTCCAGCGTTTCCCCCTCCTTCCTTTACTTCGTTTCCCCCTCCTTCCTAATTCAGTTTTTTTCCAGCCTTTTCTTCCTCCTCCCTAAACCGTTCATCTCTCCTCTCAATATTCAATTCGCGTGTTGATTGATTTCAACGGAATCGTCTTGTGCTAACGTCTAGCGTTTTTGTTTTATTTTGCATCCTCGCGGTTTCTCTTTAAGTCGTAAGATTTTGACTGAATCTCAGACACGTTTCTATACAACGGAAAAAGCTAATCTCATTTTCTTATTCAATATAATGTATGGGGACTTCTTAACGAAGTCTTTCAAACGAATAATTTTGTTATATGATGTCTCTACTGTCTCTGGATTTGACAATTTTACTAGAGACGAAAATATCAGATAATTGGAATCAAGTACCAAATGATGCTATTGGGAACAGTTTTGGAGTGTAAAACGTTATCGCCGAGGGCTTCAATTAATTCATTTGTTATCTTAGGTGTTTTAAAGAAAAATCAAATTGCTCGTAATCAATCGAGTCTTCTAGTAACACACTACTACACAAGCCTGCCTAATAAGTTTCATTATGATTCCCAAGACTGTGCTAAAATGATTAAAGCGATATCTGCAATTGCAAGACAATTTTGTAAACTCACCTTTCTTCAGCTAAAATTGATTTAACAATTGCCACACAATTGCAGTTGATAGCTTTGACTATGTGGACTGCTGTCGTCGGAAATCAAATTCAAGTCGAATGACTTTTGTGGATAACTGGTCATGCGGGAAGTATATGGACTGCTCTGTTATTGGACGAAAACCAAGCGACTCTAATGTGCTTCCTGTTAACTTGTCATCCGGGTCCGCCTCTTGTCATGGTGGCACGTATGTTTAAATAAATGTAGGCGTGGTAATTAGGTTGACACTAATGGAAGTAGTCGGGGTCGAATTATCGAAGTTTGTTTATGCGAAAAATGCAATGTATTGTTTGTTTAAATCCTACCTTTTCGCAAATGACGATTATATATTTGCAGAAAATATTTTACACGAGTGCGCTCTACTCTGTCTACTGGCTAATCGACTTTTACTGCACTAAACAGGTAATACTAAAGGGATACTGCTAATGGATTTAAAACTGGTAACCTCTAAAGAAAATTCGTTTAGTAAATGGATACGATTTCAATATCCTGACGACATTGTAGAAATAGTTAAACATTAACTTTTCCATCCCAAACCTCAGTCTCTCTCAACTGAAATTTGTGAAGTTTAGCCGAGGTGCTGAAATTGGTTCCCCATCTCTTACAACAAGGATTTGCTATATAAGTACAGTGAATCTACTAACAAATGATTAACGATCCACTTAAATCTAAAAATCTGCAGATCTAACTTGGTAAAATTATTAAAATCGCTAGAAACGTCGTTATTAGCATATTTTCAACTTTACATGTATATCGGGTTAAACACTCCAAGATTTTCAAATTCGCATGGCCGCGCGCACCTCTTTCTTTCTGATTGGCTTATTACTGACAGTTACCAGCTCAAAATCTCCTTGTTTAACCACTTATGGTGAATGTTTGTTCGTTGCCAGGATATGTTTCTACTAAAGATGGAAAAATCGATTTTGCCTGTTGATAAGCTTTCTTGATGGCATATAAATAAAAGAACATGTACTTCAATAGAGACAATAGATACATGTATGCTTCACAGCGGTAAAACGCAAAGCAAAAATTTACCGCTTTTTCCGGTTTTCGCTGCCTTGACTTCTCCAAGGGTTTAAAGTTACTAAAAATGCAGTGGCAAACCAAAATACGATCCGATAAAGCAGGTGGGTAACAACTATTAAACTATCTATGCATACTCGGCGTACAAAGCTTAACTTTTCAGTAAATTGCTTCACTATTGTCTTTAAAGTGGAGGACTTCGCAATTTAAAGACATTTATAAGCTCCAGTTTTGGCGGGAACTGCGCGCGCACAGTGTGTTTGACCGCTGTGGACCTGTATGCACATGCACCTGATTTCAGGTTCCCTCGACCCTATTCTCAGCGCCAACCGGAAGTAAAAAAGAAAGGAGAGCGGTCGAGGGACTGGACTAACTTACCCAACTCGCGCGTGGAATATATATATATATTTTTTTATTTTAGCTCATTTGCAGATTTATCCTTCCCGTACTCCCTTAACTCTTATTTTCTATCTCGCCCCACACTCTTATCCTTCTTTTATACTCGCCCCATTTATTTTCGTTCTTCTGCGACTTAATGGTTGCATCAGTTACCCAGCGTATTGTCTTTTAATAGCTAGAAGGAACTAAAAGAGATCCAAAGAACTGGAAACACTCTTAAAGGGACACTGTCCGGCGTATTTGCTCAAAACTGTATAAATGCATGAAATGGTCCCTAAATCTATGAAATAAGAACTTAATAAACTCTAACTAAATGATAAAAAGCAATTTCTTCAAGAAATTCCATACTGCAAACAAAAGTTTGCAAATTTCAAAGATTTCCGAGCCAATTTGAAACTTTGAAAAACT